CTGGCTGCTATTCCCAGTTCCACGATGATCAGTGGGGACTCCGTAAGTCGATTAACTTGTTTATATATTAGTTATTTTGTCTAAAAAAATACTCAAGTTGACAAAGTAGATTCTAAGGTCCCTTTCAACTTTAATATTTCTTTATTCCATGTAGAAAAAAATATAGCTTGAGACAAGAAAGTTGGTAATACAAAATAACCAACAAATGGAACATGCTAGCCAATCAATTTTCAACAAGACAAATATACTATAGATGGAAAGCAATTCTTAGGGAAGAAAAATAAGCAGTATAGTCATAAAACAAGCAAGTTTGCCCTATTTCTTTATAATTGATGTTTCTTCTAATTCATCTGGGATTTCTTGAGTTAAACTAAATACAGCTAAGGCTTGAATCATCCAGGATTTCACATCCAAGACCTGTCAGTTTGATGATCCCACTATTTTTAACATAGAAATAAATGGCTTCTATGCTTGTAAGCACTAGAAAAGTAAGGACAGTCTATGAAATGTGCTTCCCTCTCTCCTTCCTTTTCCCCTCCCCATTTCCTTCCTCTTCCCTGTCATCCCCCACAGGCTGAGGAAGGCAACAATCCCTTTGATTATATGTTCAGCTCTTGCACATATTTCTGCACAAATCAGGCATCTTTCCAAAGTATATGTCAGAGTTCTCACTCTAGCCTTGTGGCACACTTATCAAGAAAGAAAGTCCTAATTAGATGTCAGTTTCCTGAAGCAGAGAGGGTGTGGTTACATGAATTTACCAAAGGGGGAAAACTCTAAAGAATAAATTACTTACCTAATCACCCACACCACAGCCTAAAAATTATCATTCTACAAACACCCACCAATATTGTTTTTTTTTCTAAGAAGAACAATGCATAGTGTTTTTCAATGACATGAAAGAAAGTGAAGCACCCTTTTAAAATGCAATTTGAATATCTAAGACACTTTAAAGCCTGAATTGCCTAACTAGGAATTGTAAATGCATACAATGCATCATAAAACAACTTAGCTAACAATGATTTCATACACACACATCACAATTACTGCTGAATATCTATTAAAATAGGCAAACAACAACAACAAAACAACAAATGAAATAATTTGTACATACAAATGACCCTTTTACTCAGAAGGTCTAAACCATATTCATGTTCCTCCCTTTCTCCAGTTTCCCTGAAATGACCTCAGTAAGAAAAGTTAATTGGTCACTAATGACTGCCTTGAGAGCTTTACCACACAGCTTTTCTTCAATCTAGGTGAGTCAGGAAGAAGATCAAGAACAGCAGTTATGGAGGAGCCCTACACCTAATTCCATACCATTACACGTGTGTATAAGATACTAGCACTGTACATGAGAGTGACTCACATACCTCTGTTCATAAGAGACAAATTCTTCCTTCTCAAGTAATTCAGCTGCATGGACAGCAAGAGGTCAGGATTGTTATGTATAAGAACAGTGTTACGAGATTGCTTGTATAGTATACATTATCTGTCTTACAGCTTGAATATTATCCAGTGTGGTTAAATACACATGACAATAGAATCAGACCTTTTATTTTTCTATGACAGATGAATTAACATATGACCTGCCAGAGTCTATAAAAAGACATTACCATAACACAGTATTTTGTGAAAAACAAAAACACCAAACATAATAAAATGGAATGTTAGGGTCCTTTTCTAGCTGTTGACTACATTCAAGTTTATGACAGTTTTGTAATCAAAGCAAGTTTTTCTCAAGGAAAAATACCAAATGAATCATCTATGTGAGAATTTCAAAAAGTAAATGATGCTTCTTGGTGGATATGATTAAATAAAAAATGCAGTCTCAAATTTACAAACATCTTCATAATTTCAAAGGTTTATCAAAATTCTCCAACACTACTTAATATTAAGTGATAGATTATGACCCTAAAGTAACAGGAATTCTTCCTACTGAGCATTCCTGCCAGAAAGACAATTCCCTCAGGATATTTAGATGATTTCTTTTTGCCTTAAATACCAATGAAAATTCTCTAGTCAATACCTTTACCTGAACTGTTTTGGAAATCTAGCAAAGTTCAAAATGTATATAATATAGCTCTATAACTGGGAAAATCTTTAGAGACAAAGCCACCTTGTATTACATTTTAAAAGCCCAGAAATGTTTGGTGACTTACCCAAAGCATGCATCTGTCTTGTTTATTTCAACTCTAACTCTAGAATTATGAAGGACAGATGAGTGATGAAAGCAGTTTTTAAAAAAATCAAACATGACCATCTCATGTACATTGACATACATCAAGTCAATATAAAGTCAGAGGAGATTTAAAATCATTTTATCACCATTGTCACTGCTAAAACTGAGTTTTGATGGAATTTCAGAAAAGTCATCCATTATTAAAATAACTTCTCTTTCATAGCATCTGACCCTATGGACATTTTAATTCAGACTCTGGCATTTAATGAGATTATAACTGATGCTGTATTTAAGATGAAGGAAAGGGTGGTGAAACTCTATATCAGAACCCACAATAGAATAGACATTAATTAGGATAAAATTAAATATCAGAACTGGAAAATGTACTACAGGGAGGGCAAACTTGGAGAATTTTCTGGGAGGTTCTTTATAGCTCAATATTTCATTGTTACACATATAAAGTTCTTGTGGCAATCTGCTCCAAAGGAAAAACTGACAAGACGGAGAGTTAAGTTTCTTTCAAGAAACACTCTAAGAATAAAAATAAGAATGACACTTCTGGTTCATCGATAGCACCATTAACTAAGATGTGAACATCATCAGTAAATTCCACCATGTTTTCAGCCTTAATGTAAATAGTTTTTCTAAGCCATCTAGAGAAACACATAGAGTATAAACTTTTAAATTATGACAAAAACTAATTAAAACAGATATGTTGTAGATGTAATTGAATTCAACCATATTACCCATTTGAGAGGACTGGTTTTAAGGTCAGTCTCCACTCTTTAATGCTTTTCTACAGCACTAAGATGTAAGTGAATGTCTCCCCTACCCAATTCAGAGAAGCCCTGAAACCGAAGCCAAAAGATGCACTGAGAAGTCATTGTGTTATATGACTTATCTTCTTTAAAACCCCTGGCTATTTGACATTTGATGAAATGCCAAATCCCAAGTGCCTGAGTCCACTCTGACACATTCTGTTTATTACGTAGTAGTTTCAAGTTGGGGACTCAATTTGCAACTAACTCCACAATTTATATATTACATAATGGGTGTCTTTTGATAAATCACAGGAAAAACATGTCAGTTTTGTAGCTAAAGGAAATGACTTTTGCTATTTAACATCTTATCCATAGCATGGCCTTGACAAATGAGATAAAACGTGATTCTCTTTGAGTTATTTCATTTAATGTATAAAGACTACTTACTATCTTCATTATATCATTGTCCTAACTCTAGTTTGGGAATATTTCTTAGATACCTCCATAAATAGTTCTTCTTGTCAGGACATTTTATAAACTTACAGAGTAATTCTATTGTTTTTAAATTCTTACCAAAGCTAGCAGTATGCAGACATTTGAGAAATATTGTTCAGTTCTATTTCTACAAACATATATCACAGTACAAACCTGAGATGGTATGAATTTGACTCAGTATATATTGACTGCAAAAAATTTGTACAATGACTACCAGTCTAATTAAAAGTTCATAAGCTGCTTTTTTTTCAGTTTCCAAGTTTTCAGAATTACACATGCAATCTGACAATATTTTTTGATGTGACATAAATTTTAGTTAAATTCTAGGATATATTATGGAAACAAAATTTAGGAAACAGAGTGTCACTCTGTTAGAACACATTATTCATGTACACACATTTAAAAGAGAAACATCTCTAAAACTCAGAGGTTACTCAGGTAAAAGCAATACAGCCACATTACTCAAGCAAATATCAAATAATTACAATTTTACATTCTTGTATTATCGCCACCACATGAATTTTCAACCCTCAGCCTTCATCAATCACAACAGAACTGCTAGCATTTAGAAGGAATTCTCATGGCTTTCAATACCACAGAAATTAAGATTTAAATTATTTATTAGTTAATGCTCAGAGGTTATAAGTGGGATGCATTCATGATCAGACATCAAAAGACCAGAACTAATTAGGATTGAAATACAAGTTTATAAAGATCCTTATTCAAGAAGACAAATAAACAATTTTTACCTTTTTAAAAATGTAGATCATATGTAACTGTCATCTTCCCCCATTTGGGGCACATCATAAACTCAGTGATCTCTGCGCATAGCTGCTTTCTCTCTGCACCCTTAGGCATTTCTGGGCCTTTTAAATCTAGTGGGACAAGTCTAAACCTTACCAGAAACTTAAAGCACTGACAGATAAAAGAAAAACGCCAGTTCTCTTCTATTTAAAAGCTAATTTACAAATGTCTCAATATAGACATATTACAGATACCACAGGTATCACTGCTTCTAGCTGACAGCAAATAAGAATTAACCTTATTTAATAACAAAATTGTAAACATGCATCAGAGAAAGGTACTTGAACTTCCTTGTACAAACAACATCTCAGATTAATCACAGATAACTGTCTAGAAGTCTGTATCAGGAGCATTAAGCATTAACATCAACTTGAGCATGAACAATTATTTCTTCCAAATGAGCTAGCTTTCCCTATTCTGAAAGAAAAAGGAAAGCAACAACTACAACAGAGCATATTCTGGCCACCTACTATGTTGGCTTGCAACTTTTTTGAATGGCTTATTAAAATAACATAATTAATTCCACCTAAAATATTAACAATGTGTACAGACCTTGGCTGGTGATACTGTCTAGATGCTATTATCTAATGGCTGTTCTTGCAACAAATCTAGCAAAACATAGCACTTCAGTACTTACAGACTGCTCACAGAGAACACCATCTGAGAAACCTTTTGCATTTAAGATTAAGGCTCCACACAAGGTTTATTGTTAGCCCCAGCATGCGAGAAGGAACCGGAGGATGGAGAGAAGCGCTTACTTCGAAAATGCTCTGAAGCATAATAATAGACATCCTCATAGCCCTCGTGGTAATCCTCTTCTGGTCGGTACTTTTTCCCCTTTCTTCTCCTAGATCTTCTTATCGCCTTGACAAAACCCAGGAAGCGGTCCATCTCTCACTTACCGTGCAGCACGGCACAGCTAGCACAAGAGCACAGCAACAGCCCAGCTGCTCTGCGAGTCGGTGGAGCATGAATGACCAATACCAAACCTGGACCAGGACAGCTACCCTTCTATCTGCTTCTGGGCTACCATCAACACGGTGACTTTGGCCATAGGAGGGGAAAGAAAATAATAGTGATATGGCTTTACCTTGACAATATTTCTCATTTAGCTCAATAAATTGTCAAATCTGTAATTTAAAAAAAAAGGGGGGGGGGGAGAGAAAGAAAGTGAAATGGTAATAAAAGACTAAGAGAAAAAACAAACGGCAAAGCTTTTGACTTTAAATAGCTTCAAAACAAAACAAAACAAAGTTCAAGAGATTCAGCTGAGGCAAGAGGAGTCCCAGCACTAGAATTTCACTATCCAATATCTCCACCATCCCATCATCGGGGCGGGGGTATAGGAGAAGAGAGGGGCGGGGAAACATATTAGTCAATGGACTGAACCAAAGTTAGAGACTGAACTGACTTTCCTACCTGCTAATCCCACACCCTAATCCTAGCCCACATTATCTCAAAACATGTGCTTGGGAAACCTCTTGAAAAGCTATTGTTTTGCAATGGGCGGACTGATTAACCCTTTGTGCTCTATTGCATATCATATTAATAAGCAGCAAAGTGGTTTCATCCATATGCACAGCCCTCTTGCTGACAGGAGTGTGCAGTATGTGTTAATTGGAGCAGCAGGGAGAAGGCTCAGCAGCTGCTTTCAAATGACACGTTTACCCACTGGGCATTAATGTATTCCAATCACTGTTTGATCTAAATATTAAAATGCACTTCACAGAGAAGCTTCTCATAGGCTTAGTAACAGCATACCATAATCAGCAAATAAAGCAAACTGCCTGGTTTAAGGGAAAAGAAATACAAATAATCCAACTCAACTTACACTTGAATTCAAATATAAACCTAGCTCAATTGTCACATTTTTTAAAAAATATGAAAGTAAATGGGCTAAACAGCAAACAAAACTTAATTCTTCTTGGTGAAGACAGTGGAAAGAGAGAAATTTCATAATATGCTCACATGCTGTTCATCCTTTATCTCTAAAAATCACAAGCTTTAAAAAATTATTTTTAAGTACAACAATCAGCAACACTTCATACTAGACAAGAGAGGTACTCTAAAGTCTAGAGAAGTCAGCGTTAATCATGAACAATTTTTTTTCCTCTATAGCTTCTTTTTTCTTCAGGTCTTTAAGTGAAAGATAATTTTTAACACCAGGAAAAATCTGATTTGTTTACAATATAATTAATCAAGCATGTCAGTATATTACCAATGAAACTAATGATATTCTGCAGCTCCATGTTTCCAGAAATATAATTTTTTAAAAGGCTTCTTACTGAATAAAGGTTGTTCAATATCTGTGTAATGTCAAGTTTGTAGGATCATCCCAGAGGGAACTGACTGCACTTTGCACTCTCTGTTAGATTCACAAGCAATTTGTCTGTCTTCTAGATTTACACAGTTCCCTATTTTCAGATATAAATTGATAATGATGGAGCAGGGAGAAATTTACTTAGAAAGGCAAATACTCATCAGCCAAGAATATTTCATGTCTAAAATGTGTAGTTACTTTCAATGGTTCTGTGAAGTTCCTTTACTCCCAGAAGTTTCCATTTTGTATGCCTTAGGAGTGAGTCTGTGAAAAGAAATACTAATTTAATGATGCTGACAAAAAGATGCTATAAAATGTTTTATGAACATCTTTAAATAAAAAAATCACTTGTCCTTGGGTTTCAAATCCTTTATTATTCTGATTCCCTCAACTGAAACAAACTAGAACAATTAACAAATAGTGAATGAGAAATTTGAAGATCTGGAGTTTAGACCTGAATAGTCACTAAATATATGACAATAATAATACACAATCTTTTAATTTAACCTAACAGTCCTAATAATGAGGTGAATGTCATTATACTTCTATGCATGAGCAAAAACAGGTTCAAAGGTGTTTCAGTGGTTTGTCCAAGATCACAAAGCTAACACTATCACGGCAGGTAATAGCAGGTATTTTTCACACCGGTTCAGAGATTATTTTGTCTACCTAACAATTACATGCATTAAAGTTCATTCTTTTCTATAAATATTTTATCTTGAAGTGGAATTTGAATATAATTGTCAACTTTCATTATTAATGGATCAAACATATATCTTGGTTTATGTGATTAATTCAAGTATATGTGTCTCCCAGAGATAATGCAGGCAATGAATTTTACGCTACACTTGAATTTTAACTCTTAAATTAGTAGAGTCCATATTAAGTTTTGTAGTTTTAAGCTCCCAGTTCAATCTAAAAGGACTAACTCACAGAAAAGATGGTGCTTTACTCTTTAATAGAAAGAAGATCCCATTTGCATAGAACAGCTTAAAACATTTCACTAGAGTTTGATTTTTTAATTTTGGTATTTAGGGACTGATTTTATCAAGCAGTGGTAAGCAACTATTTTTGCACAAGAACTAATGCAGACAAAGTAAAATTATCTATATACCAAACTCTGTATTCAGAAATAAACAGAAATTGTACATAACCACCTTTCTATTATTTGTTTACATCTGAAGGATTACATTTGTTAACATTTCAGTATCTGTAATGACAGAATTTTTATATGAGATGTGGTTTGGTGGTGTTGGGGAGGAGTTTAAGAGTTTAGCCATATATTTGAAGGCATACAGCAGAAGGTATAAAAGCTTACTAAAATAATCAGACATGCTTGGGAAGCCAGGATAAGGAAGCTGTTATTTAGAGGAGGTCCACTTGGGTCACAAAGAAGGAAAGGATGTTGCAATAGATGATGTAAAGGAGGGAAAGCATGAGTATATGGGCCACAATCTAAAAGATGGAAGGCTAGACACTTGGTGCTCTGCCTGAGGGGTGGCGGAGGTAAACGAGATCATTTTATTCAATTTTCCTGGCTCATCCTTCTTGATATGGTTTGTATCTGTGTCGCCACCAAATCTCATGTCAAACTGTAACCCCCGGCATTGGAGGTGGGGTCTGGTGAGAGGTAACTGGATCATGGAGGTGGATTTTCCATGAATGGTTTAGTACTATCCCCTTGGTATTACACTCTCAGCAGTGAGTTCTCATGAGATGTGGCCCGTTAAAAATGTGTAGCACCTGTCCAGGCACAGTGGCTCACGCCTGTAATCTCAGCACTCTGGGAGGCTGAGGTGGGTGGATCATGAAGTCAGGAGATTGAGACCATCCTGGCTAACACGGTGAAACCCTGTCTCTACTAAAAATACAAAAAATTAGCTGGGTGTGGTGGCGGGCACCTGTAGTCCCAGCTACTCGGGAGGCTGAGGCAGAAGAATGGTGTGAAACAGGGAGGCAGAACTTGCAGTGAGCTGAGATTGTGTCACTGCACTCCAGCCCCTGGGCGACAGAGCAAGACTCCATCTCAAAAAAAATAAAAATAAAAATAAAAATAAAAAAAGGTGTGGTGCCTTCCCCCTCTCTCTCTTGCTCCTGCTCTGGTCAAGTGAGATGCTCACTCTGCCTTTGCCTTCCACCATGACTGGAAGCTTCCCGAGGCCTCCCCAGAAACAGATGCCGCTATGCTTCCTTTATAGCCTGTAGAACTCTGAGCCAATTAAACCTTTTTTTTTTTTTTTTTTTATACATTACCCAGGCTCTTACTTCTTTATAGCAATGTGAGAACGGACTAATACACTTCTGAATTTTTTCCCATCTTCTACACTAAAATGATCCATGTTTAGCAATAAAGGGCCAACCTAAAATCTCTGTCAGTTCTTGGTTGTATTATAATAGCTAACTGTTGTTTAACAATTGATTAACAGTTAGCTATTATAATACAACCAAGGGCTGACAGAATAGTAGTGTAGTTCAAGTCCATTCAATTAGGTTTACCACTCTTTATGCAGAGAGAATGGCCCTTTCACTCCATAGCACAACCTCCAGTAAGAGGTGCTATTTATCAGTTATTGAGCTCTACAGTCTAAACTGATGGGTCAGTTGAGACGTTGCAAATGGCAGTTCACAGAATGCCACAAACATGTTTGGTTTGGCTCACATGAATGTTTGTAGTTTTGTTCTTGGTTTTTTGTTTTTTTGGAGACGGAGTCTAGCTCTGTCGCCCAGGGTGGAGTGCAGTAGCGTGATCTCGGCTCACTGCAACCTCTGCCTCCCAGGTTCCAGCGAGTCTCCTGCCTCAGCCTCCCGAGCAGCTAGGATTACAGGCGCCTGCCACCACACCCGGCTTTTTTTTTTTTTTTTTTTTTTTTTTTTTTTAAATAGAGATGGGTTTTCACTGTGTTGGCCAGGCTGATCTCAAACTCCTGACTTTGTGATCTGCCCACCTCAGCCTCCAAAAGTGCTGGGATTATAAGCATGAGCCACTGTGCCTGGCCTTTTTTTTTTTTTTTAAATTGGACAAATATCTAAAAGTCAAGAGATTTCATAAATAAATCAAACTTTTTTTTTTTTCCTTGAAATAGCAAAAGATCTGGTAACCTTGAGCCTGATTCCAATATGGCAACTATTGATTAGAGCTGAGTGGTGGCTGCCTGCCACCCATAAATAAACATGTGCTTTCCATTTAGCTACAGTCCCTCCCCTGGGCACAATTCAATCATTCAGTTACCACCTGGTCCCTGTAGGCATAAATGCTTGTGAACAATGGTTGAAGTACTATCCTGACTAGCCAGTCTCAAAACACTAATTACTTTAAAAGAAATTCCAGCACCCCTATATTTTGATGTAAAGAAAGCAGGCTATTATAACAAATTGGTTGTCAGTTGAGCTAAATGTTCACTAAACCATAATATTAAATTTATTAGAAAAATTTGTTCACATGAGACAATAAAGCAGGTTGAATTATTCAACAAAATGCATTTCAACCAGCAATGGCAAATATATGTTAACAAATACGTATTTTTCAAGTACTAATTATTTTCATTTTGGGGAAGTAGGCAATTGCCTATATAGCATTTACATGATTTCCGTACTCTTCTGAATTAGATTCTTCATCCCCTTTTAGGAAAAAAGAAATGGACCAACTATTGAGATTAAATCTTCAATTTACAAACTTCCCTAGATCAGTGATTAGAGAGTTCCCTTCAATGCATAATTAGATTGAGTAATGGTTACAGTATTATTTTTTAGTAACAGTATGAAACATATAGTCTATAAGAGAAATCTTTAAGACATTAAATTAATCTGGCCCTTTTAGATGTCAGAGCATCTGCATGCGATGCCAATAATTGCTGCCGCCTTCATGTGGCCTTGGGAGAGATACCCTGACCTACTGAGGATGAGAATGGGAAAGAAAAAAAACACTCTGTCCTCTGGCACTAACGGTATTCTCATCAGACCCACTACTATTTCATTGTAGCAAATGATTGGTAATATCCCTCTTTACTAACTGAAATTCATAGATCATGTAACTCATGAGCACATAATTTAAACACAAAATGCCTCTTTTTTTTGAGACAGGATCTTGGTGTGTTGCCCAGGCTGGAGTCCAGTGGTGCAATCACAGCTCAGTACAGCCTCCACCTCTCAGGGTCAAGCAGTCCTCCTACCTCACCCTCCTGAGTAGCTCGGACTACAGGCATGTACCACCATATACAGCTAATTTTTGTTTTGTTTTGAGACAGACAGGGTTTCACCATCTGGCTGATCTTGAACTCCGGAGCTCCAGCAATCTGCCCACCTCAGCCTCCCAAAGTGCTGGGATTACAGGCATGAGCCACCACGCCTGGCCTAAACACAAAATGTATTAATGCTGACATATATTTAATAATACATATTTTCAAATAAGTGGATCTGAGGGCATTGCTACAACAGAAAATACAGTTAAATCCTTGCAACCACTTGTAATGAATAATTCTGAATTTGAGATGGGATCAGAAGCCCTTCCATACAACATACAGAAAATAAAAAGGTAGACAGGTAGACACCAGTATATTCACTGTACACTAAAACTGAAAAATACTTTATGTCTATATAACAGTATTTGCTTCCATGCTCAAATAATTATAAATAGATTTTCATTTATAAGAGTTTTTATTGGCCAGGCATGGTGGCTCACGCCTGTAATGTCAGCACTTTGGGAGGCCAAGGCAGGTGGGTCACCTGAGTTCAGGAGTTTGAGACCAGCCTGGACAACATGGTGAAATCCCATCTCTACTAAAAATACAAACATTAGCTGGGTGTGGTGGTACGTGCCTGTAATCCCAGCTACTCGGGAGGCTTAGGCAGGATAATCGCTTGAACCTGGGAGGCAGTGGTTACCGTGAGCCCAGATCATGCCATTGCACCCCAGCCTTGGCAACAAGAGTGAAACTCTGTCTCAAGGGAAAAAAGGTTTTTATTAATAGTAGTTATGTGAGGGTTGTACAGTATGCAAAATAAATTTTCCATGTGTAACCATGTCTCCCTCATTTTAATACTTCTAGCACCTTCAGCCACCATCCATGAAATGCTAGCAACGATCCCCAACCCACAGCATTGTGATAACCCAAAATATACAAAAAAAAAAATCATTGTGTTTAAAACACTTTTTCCACAAATAATTCTTAATTGGGCCTCTAATTTGATTCTGTCCAATTACTACTTATTTGTGTTGTTTATTAAATAAAGCATAGAGCCACCTGCCTAAACAGTAATAATATACCCTAAGTTTGTTCATCTGCAAATTGGTGAATAAACTAAGCCAATTCATCCATCTGTGAACTATTTCAAGGTCGACTCTCCATTGGCTACAAGATTTTGAGTTAAAAAGACAGTGGAGGACAGTGCTTATAGTTTGATAATGTTTGCTCACTGAGCGTGAAATGAAATTTAACTGTGGCATGTCTGCATTTGTAAATTTATTGTGGTTGTTTAGACTTCTTGCAAAATGAAATGTCAAGCAGTCATTCTGAGACTGCAAATATATTAGGCTTCAAAGGGCTCAGATAACTGAAGTTACTGAGTTTTCAAAGATTTTTCTAATGTTTTTTCTACCATATAGAATATGTTCATTCAATAAGTGTAGAATGAGCATAAAAGTGCAAAAGCATAAAAAATAATTTCTGAATGTAAAATGCTAAGTATGCTGTCTATTATAAGGGTTTCAAAAATGCTCATTGTATCAGAACTCATTTTTTCCTGAAGGTATATGTGTCTTAGGAGGAAAGATTTGGATTAGAAAATCTCTTCTAGCTACAAGATGTTATTATTTTTATGCAGCTAGATGCTTTGAAGTGATGAAAAATACAGTGCTGATTATAGTGTCTTTTAAGGTAACTGTGAGACTTCATGGAATCTATTTAAGCTCCATATTTGACGATTCTGAAGAATATATTACCTAATGCCTTCTATTTCCTGGAATTCATTTCATTTTCTCTCTCTCCTCTCTTCCTCCTTCCCTTTCCTCTTCACCAACTTGTTCTTTTCAAGCTACTTGGAGATCAAGAAAAGTCTATTTATTTTAAGTTACGCACATTTATTTATTTATATTTGTTTCTTGGTTGGTTGGTTTTACCCAAGTACTGAATTTCTAAAAGCTGAGATTTTTTATTTATTCATTTGGCTCCTGGAACATTTTCTTGGTATTTAAATTTGTTCTCGTGGTCTCACTTCTAAGTTGTCATAAATAATCTAATTTAAATTTCTCTTTTTTTCCATCCTGTAAATGCACTGCCATGTGATTCATTTCTCCTGCCTTCTCGGCCTTTTTCTCTTAAAGCCATTTTTTTGGCTCCCAATCCTAGCTATGATTTACAAGCAAACTTGTTCGGGTTAATAGCAAATATTTTAAAGCACTTGTGAGTTTTAGATTTTTTAACAGCCATTTATCCAATTTGAATTACCCATTATTCCTGCCTCTCCTCTTTACTTTTATTTATTTATTTATTTATTCATTTTGTGATGGAGTATCACTCTGTCACTCAGGCTGGAGAACAGTGGTGCAGTCTTGGCTCACTGCAACCTCTGCCTCCCAGGTTCAAGCGATTCTCCAGCCTCAGCCTCCTGAGTAGCTGGGATTACAGGTGCCCACCACCATGCCTGGCTAATTTTTTGTATTTTTAGTAGAGATGGGGTTTTACCATGTTGGTCCAGCTGGTCTTGAACTCCTGACCTCAAGTGATCCACCTGCCTCGGCCTCCCAAAGTGCTGG